TCTCCAAAAGTACTAAATTTAAAAATTTAATTTTCTTTGTGCATGAAGACTTACTTTATAAAGGAGCTTACACATTAATTTATTTATATTATAACAACTTTTAATTTGTAGTACAAATTTCTCAGAATAATTACTGGACATATTCCAACCGTTTTTCATAAAATTCATTACCAACCCCAAACTCTGACATTAAATATTAAAATCATTTCTAGTACAAATTTGGTAGAATATGAATAGTAAACAATGCTTTTTAAGAGAAGGGTTTCATGAAAATTGTTTTATTATAATGTTATTACTTGTTTTTAATTACTTTTTTGTTTGTCTTATAACTATAGTTTTATAACTATAGTTTTCAAGGGCTTTTACAATTTGTGTTTTATTTTACAAAGGCATTACTAAAAGAATATGATATCAACAACTTAAAATTTTAACGCAGGAAATTAAATATTCTTGTCTGTTTCTTTAGAAAATATTAAACTTGCTTTGCATAATGCATTCTCAATTAAGAAAAATACTATACAGAAATATAAAATACGTTTATATTTCCACATATAAATCTCCACAGTTCCATTGTCCAAGAATAGATCTTTTGTTATTATTTTATAAACAATGCGGTGAGCAAACAATATAAAGATTTGTATGTATGAAAAGAGCGTAGTAAAAGACAATGACAAGAAAAATAATAGGGCGTGTTTTGTCAGTTTCGTAAAAATTTAATCGATATAAAAAATACTTTTATATATTTTTACCTATACATAGATACATATATTTTCGTCTTCCTCCAAAAGAGGATTTTTATTAAAGCCGAAAATAGAAGCGTTAGAAAAGACCCTCCACTATACAAAAACGTCAATTTGAACGTGTAGGTATTGAGAATCGCTCCTTGGCTTAATTTATTTCTGTACCGTGTGGATTTACGAAGAGGTAACAAACTTAACGTTTCCGCTGAAATTTATGCGTTTCCGACGTGAAACTGACTCTTGCTGTACAGTCTACAGCAAAAGGAATTCAGTGCAAAAACTTAAAAACCATTTAAATAAAGCCTTTAGTTAACTAGTTAGCTAGTTCCACCTTGTATTTCTTATTGATCCTTATAAGCTATAGCTATATTATTGTATTTTTTATCAAATGAGTACAAGTACAATTTTTAAATAAATTGAGTATTGACCAAGTTTTAAAGTATAAAATTACCATAATTTTCTTCTGAAACATTTTTTGCTTATTATAGATTTACCGCTGAGTGAAGATGGTTTTATTGAAATTGTTCATATTGCTTATAAAAAACTTAATTATTTTATTTAAATGCCAGTAAAATATAATAATATATTACAATACTTAAGTCCACATCTGCACATGACTTCCGTTTTGCTATAACCGCCTTTTTTTGCACACTTAACTATTGTGTTTATTTCATATGCAAAAACCTTTGTCGCGACATAAATTAAGATAAATCTTTATTGAATAAAAAGTTCAGCAAATTCAACAACCGGCGAATTTGTATCATTTTTTGCACACGTATTTTTATAGTAGAGTGTCTTGACTTGAGAGCTGATAGGTATGGCACATTCGTATTCTATTGTTGTCTACTAATTTTCATGTGACGTTTGCAAGCGGTCTCCCGCAGATCGCCGTCAAAGAACTTTATAAGTCGCCGAAGCGAGCCGTAAGTACACGCTTTTTATTTGTCGTTTCCTACTCGACAGTCATTTAGCATTTCAAAGGAAAATTTATTTGCAATTGTTTTGGTATTATATCTATTAGATAAATAAAAATAGAAAATTATATTTTTTCAATGTTAAAAAATGGCGAACACGCCTATACAAAAATGGCCATACTCCGTAAAGGTTTTAACGATAAAGTATTTGTTTAACAAGTTTAAAAACAATTTTAAATAATAACATAAGAAAAGTAAATAATTATACTATTTTATACAAAAATATTTATAATAACCACAAATATTTATTATATACACCGAGACCAAAGTTATCTGTTATGTTATTATTGGAGCTACAAAGTCGGTTTAATTAGCAAATTGGTGGCATTTTTTCTTTCGATTAAAATGTTGAAAACAGAAAAACAATTGAACATAGGGCTCGACATAGGGTTTCCGAAATATTCACAAAAATGTATTTAATTGGTTGGTTTAATTGGTCACCCTGAATATTTTTTTTTATTTTTCTACCCTAACCTTAAAAATATATAATTAATAAGTACTTTCTCATTGTTGTGAAAATAGTAGTTTACAAAAAAAAAGTTTTAAATATAGCAATTTACGCACAAGCGGAAGAAGTTACATACAACACTCGTAAGGGTCTTTCAAAATATGTAAAAATATACACGTGTTCCATTTAAAAAAACAAATTTGTTTTTCTTGAAAACGAAGGGAATATCAAACACAATAAAAATAGTGGCATGCCATATTTCTTATTATTAATAAAAGCTGACTTTTCCTCGGGAGGCCAGCTGAACATTATTTTTATAAACGAGCACAAGAAGTTTTAAGGAATACCTAAGGAATAGGAAAAATCAGATATTTTTTAAATTGCCACACTCGGAAACGCAACTATTTTATTTTCTTTTTATGCAATTTTTTTGGCCATATTAATGTATCACCCTGTATACTACTAATATTCTATTATAGGCTATTAATAATTTAGTATATTTTTATACGAGAGATATTTATTTTTGAATATCATTTAATTGTCTACTTATTGAAGTAGATAATAGTATATTATGTATCAAGTTTGATAAACGCCATTTTATACACGAATTCAATTTAGGCACGAGCGAGCTTGCGAGCGAGTGCTTAAGTTAATGAGTGTATAGAAAAGTTTATAAACGAGGTGCATACTATACTTTTTCTACGACTATTTCCCTCGTCTTAATTTCCACCAATCACAAACGCGCAATTTTGAATTACAAATGGTTTCTAGGTGAAAAAACTGTGTGACAGCACCTGTCAGCAGTTTATTCGAGTTTACCCGCGGCAAAACTTGACAGCTGTTGTCACCAAAAATTGCAATTTATATTTTAATTGTTAACTGTTACTCATGAAATAGTCTTGTCAAATACCATTCGGGCATCTAATTTTTCCTGTGAAAAAAATCGAAAAAACACAATGCTAAGTAATATTTTCGAACAAAATGCATTCGTGCAGGTGCAAAAATCCTCCTCTTCGACTCGGATTTTTGTTGCCACCAGCACTCATGCATCTTGTTAAAATATTACTTAGCAACGTGTTTTTTCGATTTTTTTCGGAAAAATTAGATGCCCTTATGATATTACTTACGACAAATACTTATTATTATAAAAAAATGATTTAAATCAAAAATTTTTATAGAGCGCCATCTATGAAACAACAGGGGAAACTGTCAAATGTCACATTTTTACATTTTATAAACACAATTATACAGGTTATAAATCGAAATGTATCTTAAAAATTGACAGTTTTTCACAGTGAAAGTAAAGGAAATGTTTTATGAGGACTTTACAGAAGAGTCCGTGCCCGAATTTAAGTTACAGTTTACTGCCGGCGAAATTAAAAGGTCAGTACAATGTTCATATAAACTTTTCAAATATTGGCGTTGAGAAACTATTTAATATTTTTGTATTGAGATAATAAAATAATTTTCACATTTAGTATTATTTTACAAGAAAGGCACTTTATTTTAACGATTGTATGACATTTGACAACTGTCAACTAACTTAAAACTAACTTCAGCCCGTGAATAAAAACCTGTTGCTAACTTCAACCCGTGACTAAAGCGCCATAAAGCCACAACTTGTCAATGTATATTTAAAAGGTCACTTAGTGTCATGGAAACATGTACGATAAAGGGCGTTTTAAAGGTGGGAGTAGAAAAAGTATAATATTACTCTCGAGATTATGCGCATCATTCACTCGGATGATTTAAGTCTCTCGTATGGCGACTGCATTATCTGTCGTATAATAATATACTATTATTAACCTCCTTTTTCATATCTCCATTTTTTCACATAACAAATATAAATAAATCAATATAATATTGACAATATTAAATAAAACATTTAGAAAGATAGGTATATATAATATAATAAAATACTTAACACCAAATTTTATCACAAAAGCACACATATTTGTTAACTAACTATTTGTTTTATGAGATATCTAACAATAAAAAAACTAAAGCTTGCCTCTAAATGGTCCTCGTCAGTTGTGCAAGTTTGCCCAAATGCAATGGTAAAAGGTTCACAAAGGTCATAAATTCAATAATAAAAAGGTGTGCTGCATTTGTCAGTGTGCCACTTAGGATTTTAACAATAAAACAACAATTTTATATCGATAGCCGGAATAATCGATGTGAAAATTATATCGCAACCTACAAATTTATTGATTCCTTTTTGGTGCTAGTAAAATATTTATTTGCATCATATGATCCACGACGCACCTGTCAAATTTCACCGGTCTACTTCGGTAAAAACACGAAAACAAGTTTAAATGGAAGATTGGGTGGCTAATTAAATGGACTCATTGATTTTTTAATATTGTTTAAACTACGACAACAGGTTGTATATGAGGTTGTAATGTAATGCCGGGGCGCACGCAAACCATACGTACACATAAAAACAAAACAACGTAAGCGCGTGACTGGTTTTTCAAAAAATCAACGATATAAATCACGGGGGATAAGAAGGCAAGAAGGAGAGAGAGAACCCGTTTGTTGGCTACAGATATACAGATAGAGTATTGTATACGTACGTCTGATGCCCCAATCCATCATTTTACCACAGGAACCGTCATTCTACTGGCGAAACTGATGGTCACATGTGGCCGCGGCACTCTTAGGAAATAAACAAATTGGTCCCAAATAGGAGAGGAGTATAAACAACAAAAAATACAATGAACATCGCGCGCGGCCGCCGGCCGTGAATGACGCACTTTAACCTCGCCGCGATGCGACCATCGAAGCATGCGCTACCTACTGTCTGGAAGTGCTCTTCACGGCCCCGCGAAGAAGCCACTAACCACCGCAAAAGTGGTCGTCGCTCGGCTCAAGTCCCCCGACTTCACTCTTTCTTTCTTTCTTTGTACCTACGAAGCATCGTTATACCTCCATGCATACGGTTATTATCCCTGAGCGTGCTGCAGTCAGGGGAGGGGTTGAGATAGCACGTAGTGCCGCGGGCAAGATACCTAGTTGAGAGCGTGGGCGTCGTCCTGCGGGCCTTCTCAAACGAATTTATTCAACGCGGTAAAGACCAAGTGCGCCATCTAGTACGAGAAGACTAGACTCAGAAAGCTTTGTTTTATATAGTAGTAGAAAGCTTTTAACGTATCTCGTGGAAAATGATTTAATTAGAGCATGTAAGTTAACTAATTTTTAAATTAATATTCAATGTTAACAAAAGTTTTTTCTTTAAAAATAGTATGCTATCCAACTTTATAATTTACAAATATCAAATTGCAGAAACATATCTTACCGTAGAAAATAAAATGTATGAAAAATCTCTGTGTTCCGTTTTTTTTTGGAGCTTACGGGCTAAAGTTAGCTTTAAGTGGAAAAAAGTGAGATTAAAACTGCTTGACAGTTTTCAGATGTCAGATAAAATACCAAATAAAGCTATGTTCCTTAATTTACTGCCAGTACTGTCAGTACTGAAAACGCATTCTGAAATCCACTTTCAGTTACTGAGCTAGACCTAGAAATGTACGGCAGATAGGTATAATTTTACTGATACAACTGGTAAAGGAAAGGTGCTGTGGTTCCAGTAAACAATGTAACCAAACTTTTAAACATCAAAAATAGCTGTCAAATAAGGTGATGAATAGGTTTGCATTTGTTAAAGAGCTAAGAATAATTATTTAAGTAAATACTGATGAAATATTAATCGAATACTTTTACTGCTGAAGCAGTACTGCTTCTGAAAGTAAGGTGTCAAATGCAGAGATTGCGCTTGCGTAGCCATTGTCACTTTCCGCTGCTACTGCAGTAGCAGCGGAAAGTGACAAGTCCATGGACTGCGTTGCAATTTCACTGTTGCGTCAGTTACCGAATAAATTACAAAACAGTCCTTTTGCGCTACTGACAGTTAAATAACCGACAGTACGACTGGCAGTAAATTACGGAACATATCCAAGATTGGCCTTAAATTCATTATGGTTGTTGAATAAAATATTGTGTGCGAGTATTGGTCCAAAGAGGAGGTTCCACTCGCTTGTTCCCTCACTCGCTACGCTCGTGCGGCATCTCTTTATTCTCTCCCTATTCGCACAATACACCCGCAAGGAATTCGGTATTTCAAATACGGTATTCCGAATACCTATACCTATACCCACAATCCACACAACAAGGTCTGTTCTATCTCGTACTAAAAATACAAAAAATCACTGCAACACTGCACAGTTTAAAGGCGGTCATTTTTGTTGTTTACAATTTTTGTGCTTTGGGTTTGTGCTCTGTTTATACAGATTAATAATCGTTTTAAACGTTGTGTTTCTCATAGTAAGCCTTAAAAGAGGCCTTAAAGTGCTAAGAACTTCTATCAGGGCTGTCATAAAACTGTCAATTGTCAATTTTAAGGTTAAATTATAACCCACAAATTAACCTTCAAATTGTCATTTCAGCCCTGATAGAATAAGGTATATTTATTATAAAAGAGGAGTAAAATGGTTGTCCTTAGCACTTAAAGGCCTTATTTGAGGCTTACAAGTGTCTCTGTAAGAAACCCAACGTTTAAAACAATTATTAAACAGCACAAACCCAAAGCACAAGAATTGTAAACAACAAAAATGGCCGCCGTTAAACTCTGTGCAGGGGTGCAGTGATTTTTAGTATTTTTAGCATGAGATAGAACAGACCCTGTTGTGTGGATTGTGCCTATAACTTCATTTTCGTGGCCCTGCTAAGAGTGAGCGAAATAAAGAATTCCCTGATTGTTCATTTCTAAACTTCAACCCGTGGGCAAAATAGCATTTTCTCCACGCTTCAAATTGAAAGAGAAAGTGAGATTAAAACTGCTTAACGCCAACACGGAGTGGAATCTTCTTTTTGACAATTTTGACTATATTATATTCAACAAGCACAAGAAATTATAAAGCCAATTTTATTGGATATTTTATCCGACAACTATTAACGTAACAAGAACGATATAGTAGTTCATAGGATCTTGTAATAAATCTATAAAATGAAATTAATAGTTTATTGTGCGACTAAGGGGAAAAAGATAAGTAAAGTAAAGTAACACGCAAGTGGAATCTTCTCTTTTTCCCACTAGTCACACAATATTCTATTAATTTTATTACATAGATTTATTACAAGACGCTAAGAAACTACTGTATCGCTAATACACAGTTTTTTACAATAATGGCGAATGCGCCGGGATTAATCATATTTATCTAAAAACCCTTTAACACGTACAGAATCATTATATTGAAACTAAATTATTAAATAATAGTATGCAGGCTTATATTTACGAGTATGGGGTTTACGTCTCGAGTCGCCAGACGAGAGACCTAAATCATGTGAGTGAATATTGCGCATAATCTCAAGTGTAATACTATACTTTATCTACTCCAATAGGTATATAATTAAATGATTTTCAAAATTAAATAAATAAAATCAGACATCTCTCAAAAGGTTCCATTCACTTTTTACCTATTTTAAATGTTATTATAGTCGCCTTCTTCCAATTTAAAACCCGATTGGTTCAAATCAAAGTGAATATTGAAATCGGCCAATCAATGATTGCAATATTTACGGAAAACCCCCAAATGTATGCAATAGGAGTAGATAAAATAAAATATACCATTTAACCAGTCTTGTTGTTTTAATAACGAAATAAATCAAATCGTCGAGACGTTGCAAGCAACTTTTCAGGAGGATCAAGAACGTAACTGTGCACTGTGCTTCTAGATTTTTAGAAATTTACACAGTAACGTTTCTTTGTACTTATGATAAGTTACATGCAACCTTTTGCAGTATAAACGACGGAATATCACATCTACAAATTTAAGAAGAGTGGCCACACTAAATCAAAGCAACTTTTCAGGAGGATCAAGAACGTAACTGTGCACTGTGCTTCTAGGTTTTTAGAAATTTACACAGTAACGTTTCTTTGTACTTATGATAAGTTACATGCAACCTTTTGCAGTATAAACGACGGAATATCAAATCTACAAATTTAAGAAGAGTGGTCACACTAAATCAAAGAGTATAAGCACCAAATAAAAGTGATATGACACACGTCTGAAATAAATAGCATATATAATAGGGTGATTCATTTCCGCAAAATATTAATCTACCTATAGAAAAAAAATTTTTCACCAAGGTAGAGCTCTTAATATCAATTTTAAGTACTTGCAGTTTAAATTTAAAGTTTTCCCATTTAAAATGCATGTAAAAAAAATGTTTTTTTTTTTCAAATTTCTAATGCTCGCCCGCTTTTTACAATATTGTGAATCGGTTTTATGGACCTTATAGGGAATTTCACGCTCTTCAAAATTGTCTTTGTGTTTTTTGTGTAACTCGTAGTGGTTCGCCAGTAGGAGTCATCAAAGTTCAATTTTTTGAATGAACATTTTTTTTTGCAATTTTTTTTAACAATTCGCAAAAAATACTGAAATCGTAAAAATAGTCTTTTAACAAATATTTGATAAATTTACGGCCATTTTTATATCTTAAAACGTAAGTAATTGATAAATATTAACCAATTATGCTATTTAAATTAAACTTTCTTATTTACTATCGATATAATTCTCTACAACAATAACTTTTTCAGAGTTATTATGATTTTTGACTTATAATAAATATAAAAAAAACACATTAATTTATAAAAAAACAACAAATATACAATTGCAACTTATAAGAATCTATAGATTCTGCAATTTTTCAACATTTCCGTAATATAGCAATAAATATAAATGAAGGTTATTCAATTTTTTTAACAAAATTCTTAAATTAACGAAAAAGTAAATTGGTGAAAAATTTTTTTTCTATAATATATTATGTTGATTAATATTTTGCTTGAGCGCCGAGAAAAAAAAAGTTTTTTGCGGAAATGAATCACCCTAATATATAACTATAATAATAAATGTAGGTATACTTTGCCTGTAAGGAACTTTTGTGACTACTACAAAAAACTATCGATATTTTGCAGAAAACTATCGATAGTAGCAACTATCGATAAATATCGATAGTGCTTCGATAGGTATCAACCACTACAAAAACCTATCAAATATCGATATTACTGGTAATTTTTACTAGGCAACAAAAATAACGTTTCACCTCGAAACTGTACCATTAATTATTAATACAGGGTGTCTCGAAAATGGCCCATTAACGCCATACCACGCGATATGGGAATATTTTAGGTTAATTTTTCAATAAGTAGGTACTTTTCGAGTTATTAAGGATATAAGTTTTAAAAACTCGGCAACGTTGTTTAATTCCTAAGCTGATTTATGAAACATCTAAAAACGGTTGCTATGGAAACAAAATCAAAAACACATCTACAGCGACCTGAAATTAACATTGACAGATCGGTATATTAAATATTATAAGTCATTTTCTTTTAAAAGACTAGCTGTATTTAAAAACTTGTTATTCCAAGGTAGCAAGATATATTTTCTGACACTTGTGTAAAAAATCAAGCTTACGAATCATAACAGCTGTTTTCGCGGAGCTAATCTCGAACTATAGATTCGGGCATCTTAGGTATGCGCATTTTAAAATTTGGCGTTCAAAATGTAAAATACGCATGACAAATTTTAAAAGGCATATGCCTAGGATGTCTGAACTAGTACAGGATTAGCACCGCGAATACAGCTATTATTATCAAATTTTAAACTTGTTTAGAATATTGTCTTCTATTTTTTTATATTATTAAATATTATTAAAACATTAAAATAACAAAAATAAAATTCAAACTTTCAAACCCTTTAGCTAAAAAACTACCCTTTATAATATTCGTATCTACCCTGATCTTCCAACTAGTTTTTGAAATATTTTGATTTTTTTATAAAAAACTGGTTTGAATAATAAAATAATAAAATAAAAATCTAACAAATTGGTAAATTATGGTAAGTTTTTTTTGTATGAAAAAATTTGGAACATTTGGTGGGCTGTTAAGTATGTATGGTCTTAATTTTGGTGGCCATTGTTCAAGAAGAATGTAAATTTTTATACATATATGATAATAAACCTTTATTTATTTATATTTATTTATAATATTAACGAAAGTATTTTTTTATGAATAAATTTGGTACTTTTGGTAAAATTAGTAAACTACCTAATAAAAATTTAGATTTCTGCGATAAAACGCTTAACTTTCTATAATATTCCTAAATTGGACAAAATGATTTAAGAACTGTCTAAACCACCTTAAAGGACCACAACCTGTCAAACATATCCTAAAACATTCTTGTGGGGATTGTAATAAAAAATGGCATAAAAACTATCTAAAGTTGTCTAAAAAGGTCAAAAAGGTGTCAGAGCTGTGAAAATCGTCTTTAATATACCAAAAATAACATAAATAACCGTTTTATAGGTTAGAAATGTCCGAAAACATTATAAAAACAATTGAACAAAATAAAGCCATATTGTACCTGTTCTAAGCATAGTATTAAAAGAGTCGACACGTTATGCCTATTGTTGTGTATTCCAGAAAAGTGTGCCCAAAGTGAACCAAAATATAATCGTCGTTAAAAAACGACGTTAACTTGACCAATTTGTTTTGTGTATTTTTGGTTTTTCCTATTAAAATTCAATGGTGGTTTGTTGCGCGTTTGGTTGTAAAATTTTTTTTTTTTTGACCAAATACCTACTGTTTCAGTAGCGTGTATTTTCTTTATTTACAGTATTACCTATATTTTTTAATGAAACTGCTGCGATCCACTACTGGTTTTGAAATTAATGGTTTTGAGCAGGGACCCGGACCGAAACCGAAAAAAACCGAAAACCGGAACGGAACCGGTTTTTTTTTCCGAACCGAAACCCGAACCGGAACCGTTTTCGCTTTTGATAAAATCTGTTGGACCGGAACCGAAACCTTTATTTGCTTTCATTCTAATAACATTATATATGTATGAATTCACATTCACATATATGTGAGGTTATAGATTAAAATTACGTAAAACAAATAACCTCACTGGAACCGCTTAAAACCGAAAAGAACCGAACCGTTATAACTCCACGAAACCGAAACCGGAATCGGAACCATTAAAACGAAAATAGGGTGAACCAAAACCGTACCGGAACCGATATTTCATTTCGGTCCGGGTCGCTGAACTTAAAACTTTTGAGTTCAGCGACCCCATTTTTTGGTTCAAATTTCGCAAATTTTCGTAGGTCTAATTAAGCGTCCCTTCTCTTTCCTTGTCTAAGGTTCTAAGTCTGTCTTAAATATCATAAAACTGTCAGGACAAACTAGTGAAGGGAGAATCGAATGATTTTAAGAATCGAATACTTTGCATTCGAATAGTCTAAAGAATCGAATGATCATTCGAATGCAGAGAATCGAATAGTTTGTTCCGAATCGGAACCGATAATAGCCGAAAACATTTATTGAATGAATGTTTTCGGAACAAACTATTCGATTCTCTGTATTCGAATGGTCATTTTATTTTTTGTTTACAATTCGTTATGGGCTAAGCGGGTTGGCGTCGCACTGGGTGCAATATAAATTCTAAACCGGCTAATATACCTACTAATTGATTTATGACAGGCTTTCTTTATTTTTGTCATAAAACATAAACCATATTGTCAGGTTTTGTAAATATGGCATATTTTAATAAAAAATGTATGCTCTTTATTTTTAATAAAATAATACCTTTTGATTCAAAATTAAAATCCTTAAGGAAATAGTCACCAAAATTCAACATTCTTTATTTTTAATTTGGTTGGAACGTCGGTTATACGTTTTATTTTTGTGACATTTAAAAAGTTTTAATAATAATTGTTAGATAATTATGTTTTTGTTATATTTACTAGATTTTAGTACATATTAAAATTAACACAAGCAGTGCTGGTCCAGCTCGATGCAAGCCGATTCTCCATGCGATACAAAAAATCAACTTTGGCGTGAATTCGAATGCAGAGAAATCTCTCGTCTCCCACCTTCCGCTCGATGACACGCAAGCGCTTTCGATTCGATTCGAATAGTTCGAACTATTCGAATACTTTGTTGAGAATCGAATGCATTCGAATGCACGCCAGAATCGAATACTTCGATTATTTGTATTCGAATAGTCCCTTCACTAGGACAAACTGTCAAACACAAAATATAATTTACATTTTTTAAAGAAAATAGCCTAAATCTGTCTTTCCTAAAAATGTAACAATTTTGATAAAAATCATTTTAAACTTGATTTAAAATTTCATAAAACACCTTAAAAAACTGGATCGCATGAGCAAAAAATTATAGAAAAAATCCATATCCATGTCCAAATCCAGATGGCCACAAAAAATAAAACTTTAAATTCGACCATTGTAAAATTTACATGTATACATGTAAAGCACAGATTATAAAACATATTTTAAAGGTTCTAAATGAAACTAACTTTTTGGTGTGTACACATTAGACTGGGCCAAAAAAAATTACTATTTTTTTTTTTTGAAAAATATATCGAGAATGTCATTCAGAATGACAAAAACAAAATTTTGTGAAAATTTGAGCCCTTAATATTAATTTTAAGAGGTCTATCATCGCTATTTTTGATTTTTAGTCATAATTTGATGTTTTACGTTAGAACTGTCAAAACATTAAAGTGAAAAAAATCCTTTTCATTTGTTTTTATATAAAATTAAATTCTCTACAAAAAAGGTCTGATTGAAAATTTTCGTCAGACGAGCCGTTTCCGAGTAATTGAGCTTAATAAATCGATATGTTTTTTCGATTTGCCCTTTTTACTTTGAAATTTTGTAACTAATGAATCAATGAATATTTAAAAAAGCTCACGTCGGATTCTTAAAAGAAATTTAATGGTCTACAAAAAAGGTCTCTTAACATTTTTGCCTAAATTTAATTCTTCAAAAGTTATTCACGAAAAAAAAATTGAAATTTTAAGTTTTTCTTCAATTTTAATCGTGAATAACTTTTGAAGAATTAAATTTAGGCAAAAATGTTAAGAGACCTTTTTTGTAGACCATTAAATTTCTTTTAAGAATCCGACGTGAGCTTTTTTAAATATTCATTGATTCAATAGTTACAAAATTTCAAAGTAAAAAGGGCAAATCGAAAAAACACATCGATTTATTGAGCTCAATTACTCGGAAACAGCTCGTCTGACGAAAATTTTCAATCAGACCTTTTTTGTAGAGAATTTAATTTTATATAAAAATAACTGAAAAGGAATTTTTTTCACTTTAATGTTTTGACAGTTCTAGCGTAAAACATCAAATTATGACTAAAAATCAAAAATAGCGATGATAGACCTCTTAAAATTAATATTAAGGGCTCAAATTTTCACGAAATTTTTTTTTTGTCATTCTAAATGACATTCTCGATATATTTTTCAAAAAAAAAATAGTCAATTTTTTTGGCCCAGTCTAGTACACATATATGCTATGGCCCGGGGAAAATTGACGACTGAGTCAGTGTGTGCGAACATTTTCTTTTTTTTAATTTTCCAAAGGTTTTGGATACAGCAAGATTTAAATAAAATTTACTTACCAGTATTTGGTGCGTTCATTAGGATGGACAAGGGACACTCGTCGTCGTCAAGGACGTATTCTGTGTCGGGAACCCCGGGTTGCTGGGTGACTTGCACCAGGCACCACTGCGTCGGGTCAGTTTTTGTCAGGCCGTATTTGTCAAGCATCTCGCGAACAACCGCTCCTGCACAATCGCGCACCGAGAGCAGTAGAGTTTTGTAAGGCACGTCTTTGCACAAAGCTTCGCCGTAGATTTTCAGAGTACCACCTAAAAAAATATTAATTCATAAACTGTTATATAAAAAACATTACTTTTTTAAATATTAATTTTAGAAGCTTTTTTAAATCAATTTATTTTTTAATTAAATCATAAAAAATTACGTACCGTAAACACGGGTGGCTTTAGCTTTAAGTAATACTTTCAAACTTAAGCTTAAAATTTTTGTGGTTTTAACAATCATAAACATTAAATATTGTATAGCAAAATTTAAGTCTTGAGTTGCTTTTTCATAATAACTATGATATAATATTATGTAGGGCTGAGTTTCAAAAATAAAAATTAAAATCTGGATGTGCAAAGTTACCCCCTGGTTGCGGGTAACTTTGCCTCACAGTGTATTTTCCAGATAAAATTAACTCAATATTTTATTTTATTTTTATTAGACAGATGTTAGCAGCGACATATATCTATTGCAAAGGATTACCGATAAAAATAATAAATAAAAAACCGATCTGTAGTTAACCAAGGATCATCATTCCAAAGGATTGCGCCTAATATAGAAATTTTAACGCGTGTATTTCTAAGAGTTCTGCACTGATGCAATATAAACAATTTTAAAGTGTAATAAATCCCATATATTTCTTTAAAACACTGATTTTCTATAATATAAACTCAAAAACACAAATTATAAATGTTAATTTTATAGAGCGCGAAAATATTTTTCATAAAAAGGTTAGTCACCCGCGGGGTGCAAAGCCACCCGTGTTTACGGTACTGTAATAAGGATAAAATTTAAAAAAAAAAACGTTCAACTAATTCGTAGAAAACTTTTTAAGGAAAGACTCAACATGTGCATTAAGGGTTGTTTTACAAGTGTTCGAAAGTAAAAAAGATTTATTGATTTGTTTTGAAGACCTATTCAAAGTAAGTAACACTTAATTGTTTACAATGAAGACCAGCTATTTATTTACCACTTAAATTTTCTTAAAATGTTTTATGTCTACCACATGGTAAAAATACTTTATGTAAATCTAAATTATTTTTTTACCCCTTCCAACCTTCCTAATTTTTTTATACTATAAAACGTGACGCACTAAAGAATTGTTATGAAAATTGGGAACAGAAAAGTCATTATTTGAATATTACCAGTGTTTTTGTTAAAGTATATAAATAATAATGCTAATAATAATTATAAAATTAGAAATGTATTGTTGAGTTAAAAAATTCATATTATTAGATATGTTATTTCAAATAATAACTTATTTGTTTGTTAGTTTAGGTTTTCTTTTAAAAGAAGTTTATACTTTATATTGATTATTTTAAATAAATAATACATATTTTTTGTCTATTGTTAAATTTAAATTTCAAAAAAAAGATTAAGTACTACCACAATTATTTAGTAGGAAGTCTATGTGGACCCATTACGGTCAACATATAATTCGTATTAATACAAAAAAGTCTGAAACTTGAAACTCTTGCGGGCTTTCTTGTTTTAATAAAAAAATAGATTTAAATAAAAAAATACGATTGAAATAAAAAAACCGGATTATTTTGATTGTTTTCAAGTAAAAAAACAACTCTGCCTTTAAATGTAAAAGGTTGGTAAAAAATTGATAAATTTAAATATTATCCACTAAATATTTTTTGTTTAAATTACCTGTATCTGGGCCTCCGTCTTTGGATCTAAATTGTTGTAATTTCTTTTCCAACTTTTGTTGTCTTCGTCGTCTCATTACAGCTTCAGGATTCGATATTGAACGGGTAAATGACGTTTCAGGTAATTCTGTAATAAAATTGGAAAAAAATATTATTTTAAAGTTAAATCTTTATCTTAATAAAATAAGAAAAACTAAAGAAAATTTTATAAAATAAAAACCAACAAATTTGTGCGTATTAGACTTTAATATTAGATTATTAAACTTTTAAAGCTAAAATGTATTATGAAAATAATAAGTAGTTGTGATTTTACAAAATTTCTGCAAATTTGAAATATTAAAATAAACGAGTCATAATATTATGGCAAAATTATTCCGCGGAAGATTTTGTTTTTAAATTTTAAATGGGAATTCCCCTATGCCACGTATAATAGCATTTTTATTATGTGACATCGTTTTCTATAATAATATTAGATGCATCGCGATATCACAAAGTGGGGGTCACTAAGCATTTTATTGACGACACCTTAGTGTCGTATCGAGGTCATCAAAGCAGAGGGGCGTGTGCGCCAAAATAAATAATTTTAAAGGCGAAAATAAAAACGTTTTAAAGTTGGTATGGTATTTTCAGATACACGTTACTTAGATAGGCCAACCATCCCAAGTAGCACAACTGGTTAAATAAGTAGTATTTTAAGTAAATTAACCAAGATCCAAGAAAAATACCTTTTTTAAACTTGTTTTTTTAACCAATTAGTTGAACACTTTAAATTTACTGAGTGGTTGCTATTTCCTAAAGGTTATTTTTTAGTACAAAATAACCATTAAAAACAAACTTATTGGTAATATGACTAACAACTTAAATAACAAATAATTTTTTATTGGACAGTTAAAAAGTAGGTTACTTTATAAGTTACATAACAATGTTATGATAACATTATATTTACCTTTAATTTTAACAAACGAAAATGGTTAAGAGTAGTTATTTTTTAGATATAGGTATTTTGGTTTAATTTAACTTTTGATATAACTTGTAGGTAAATCCACCATATTAGTTTTTGCCCATTTTAACGAAAAGAGACGACAATAATTTTTATTTATCTATTTTTAATTAGAAAAAGGAGGTAATATAACCACACAATAATAAAACATAATATTGATTTAAGTTTATTAGTATTTTAAATCAATTCCACACAAAATAGAAAGATAAAAAGATTAAATTTTTTTTTAAATATTTTTTTTATGTGTTTTTATTCTTTTTAAAATAAAGAATTATTATGTGCTGCTTTAGCAAAATAATAAAATGCCCCATCGGTCTTTTTGTTATAGGTAACTACTAGCTTTAATTAATAACATATATATCTTTAAGATATTTATATTTAGAGATGAAATTTTATTTTAAAGATCTGTAAGCAAGTCATATAAAGATAACCATATTTAGTATAATATATAGTTAAAAAACTTAAATCGGTTAACATTCATACTTTAATTCTAAGTTAACTAAAGAGTAAAAAGTAGTTAAGAAGGGTAAAATAAACATAAAATTACTAATATTAACGCAATTTTAAACAAAATCATAATCATAATTTAATTCTCCACTTATTACCAAATAATTTTAATTTTACGTTATAGTACAATATTACTTAAATAAATTAACCAGACATAACGTTAATTTAACTAGCTGTGCTAGGTACTTGGTTGATCTTTAAGGACAAAAGATCATTTTATTGTTTATAACAATAAAAATGATCTTTTGTCCTTTATAACTTAAACTGCATAAACTCCATTTTAGCGTTTTATTGGCCCTCTAGATCATGCGACTAGACGCCGTTGAACTATTTTTTGTGGGGATATGTAAACAATCCTCAAACAGTTGAGGAATTGGAAAATATATTTAAATTACAACTAGTGATTACTATTATTATTAGTATTACATACATGTATGTTATTAGTGGTCACTATATCAAAACAAAAACAATTGATGTACTGGCATTTTACCTCGTCACCGCGGTTTTGTTTCGAGTGTGCTTACACATTACATGGCTACCCGGCACTGATGATGATTAAAAAACTTAAAACAAAAACACGGTGACGAGGTAAAAGGCTAGTTTTCTCATTTCTAGTGTTATTTTGATATAGTGATCACTAATATAGTAATCACTATCACATATTTGTTATCGTCGATAACTTATCGATCATTTCAGCAGTTGAGTTTAATTATTACCTAAATTTTTATTAGTAAGCTATTCGTATAACAACATTAGATAATCTTATTGAAATACCTACCCTTTCCAAGGTAAATGTTAGTATAAAAATTAGGGTGCTCCAATATTTTTTTTTTTCGCTGACACATGAAAAATTTGTTCCATTAATCGAAACAAAAAATTCCCTAAAAATTTGAGCCCTTAATTTTAATTTTAAGTAGTTCCTTTCGATCGATGTATCTTTCCCATTTAAATAACATGTAAATCATGATTTTTTTTAATTTAAATTAATTTAGCTCCGTTTGATTTCATGGTATTTCATTGCGATTAGTCAGAATTTGTAGTATATTAGTGACTCTTTGAAAGTGCCCACTAACATTTTTTTGTACTTGAAGCCGTCTCATCGGTGTCGACCTCGAAAGTCCAATTTTCTCAAAAATTGTTATATTTTTGTTCTTATCAACAAAACAGTTAAAGTTATAAAAAAATTGTCTGAAAAAAATTTGTAAAAAATTAAATTTCCTACAAAAATATCCCTGTATGCATTTTCTGAGGTGTGTAGTCCAAAAGGTATAACAGTTTAATGTATTAAAATCTCAAAAAAATATAAAATTTTAATTTTTATTGTATAATTTTTCAACTTAACAAAATTAACCTCAATCAACTTTTTTTTTAGAAAAAAAGATCGGTAATATTGGGAAGAGATATTGAAATAGTATATTACACTACAAGGGACGAAAGTTGAATTTTCGGCCTTGTATATAATATACATATACATACATATTATACATATTATGTACTTGTATTATATTATTATAATTTTACCGCGAGGAAACAATAAAGTAAGCTCTGTTTCAATCTAAGACGCTTTGTTTTCTACATACGAGTTACATACCTTGTATCATGCTTACGTACATTTGAAAACTCCACGATAGTAAAATCAGTGCTATATTATAAAAAAACATGTATTACTTCTCGATGCGTAGCTATTAGCTATTAGCTACTACCTAATCTATTATTCAACTAATCAATTACAAATCCAACTAAATAATTATACGTTTTTTTACCGATTTCTTTACTCATAATGGTATAAAAGAAGAAGAGACAGAAAGAAGATGAAATCGATGCTTAATTTGACATTATTTTGGAGGTTATATTATAACTTTAACGACGCATAAAGCCGCGTCCAGATTTGTACCCCGTCGCGCAACCGTACCACGTTGCGAACCACGTCGCGCGCAATCTGGACGTCGAAACGAACGCCGTCGCGAACCTAATAATAATAATAAGCGTTGCAGCTCGAGGTACGTCGCGATCCACGACTTGTCGGTAAACTGACGAAACATCAAAGGATTGGTATGCGACGACGTTGAATAAGTCTGGACGGGCAGAAGGACAATTTTGTTTGTTTAGTTTTATTTTGTGTTTGAAATGGAGTGGACCGAAGAAAATATTCTACTTTTAATTAGTTTATAAAGGCAAAATCAATGTTACAGCTAGTCTTTCTTGCACTGAGATTGCTTTTCGAAACTTGGTATCTTGCTTTCCTATTTTGGGCCCAATTGCATTAAAAAGATATTCAAAATCTATTGTTGACATTTGAGTAAAATTTTTATATTGACCACTAATTCTTTGCATCTTTAAATCTGCAAGCAATTTGTTCGCACCATATTTCGGTCTATTTCTAAATATTTCTGTTTGCCACCACCGCCTTTTTTGTTTTCGCTTTTTAGTTGATAAAGCAAAATGAATATAAATGTACGCTGCTGCAGCGATATCCATTTTAAAATCGACTAAAAATTGGAACGCGGCAATGGTTGCAACCCGAGGTACGGTATGTTCGAGGCGGCGTACGTGGTTGCGGGATGAAATTCGCGTCGTGGTTCGCAACGTGGCTCGCGACGTGGTACGGTTGCGCGACGCGGTACAAATCTGGACGCGGCTTAACAAGCACAAAATAAATTAAAACAACGTCTGCTGACGTCAGTATGCTACCTGGGAAAGTAGAACTAAATATTGAAATTTGAACACTGTTAAAAACAATAAATTTTTATTCAACAATTAAAGTTGAAAAATCATACAATAAAAATTAAAATTTCATATTTTTTTTTATTTTAATCCATTAAACTGTTTATACCTTTTGGACTATGCACCTCAGAAATTCCTACAAATTGTTCTCTGACAATTTTTTTATAACTTCAACTGTTTTGTTGATAAGATCGAAAATATAACAATTTTTGAGAAAATTGGGCTACAAAAAAATGTGGGCACTTTCAAAGAGTTACTAATATACTACAAATTCTGACTAATCGCAATGAAATAGCATGAAATCAAACTGAGCTATATTAATTTAAATTTAAAAAAATCATTATTTACATGTTATTTAAATGGGAAATATACATCGATCGAAAGGAACCACTTAAAATTAAAATTAAGTGATCAAATTTTTGGGGAATTTTTTTTTCGATAAAAGGAACAAAACTTTTATGTCAGCGAAAAAAAAATGTGCATTTTAAATGGAGCACCCTTATAAAAATGTTAAAAACATAATTACCCGTGTATAATTTTTCAGCTACACCGTCCTTGTCATTTGGATCACCGTTCTCGCTTTTAATTCTCGATAGTTTTTCCTGTTTTTTTAATTGTTTTTTCTCTCGTTTCGATAATTTTCGTCTAAAACTGGCGTTAGAGTCGATGGAACCCATCGAACCAACCTAAAAAATTAAAAAAAAACATAGAACAATAACTTTATTAATAAATTTGACTTGCTGAAATGTAGTATTTAGCGGTGCAATTATTGTAAAATTATACTGTAATTATTGAGAAATAATTAATATTCGAAGTGCAATAGGAATGTTGGTTATGAATGAAAGAAGCACATCATAAAAACAATAATTGTTTTGTACGGTTATCAATGTATGTTAACAAGAATTCAAAATAATAAAATGCATGTTTTACAACTACTTTAATGACACGAATCAAAAATACGCCAATAGAATTTAAAGTAATTAAACAATGGATAATAACAATTGTGACTCATGATAAAAACATTGTTTGAATTAATTTATTAAATAAAGCTACACTTAATTTTACTTTGCAACTTTTGATTTATCGCTCATATAATTTCCTCAATTTGTCTCTTAATTAAGTTTCTATTAAGGCCAACATTACTTTAATGCATGTCAGATAGATAACTTAATTTGTTTAGCAAATGAAATTAAAGACTGAAACCGATACCGTACAATTTATGTTTCTTACACGTGTATAAAAGTCGATTATTTTATATATTTCTTTCTTATGGAAGTGCATTTTTAACTTTTATGGGATTTTCATTTACATAAATGTTCTTATAAACATAAATGAAAAAGTTTAAAATGTTAAATATTTATTATAAAATCATTTAAGTACCGTTCACATGAAGCGTATGATTGTCAGGGTGTATAAGCAAGCACTATGTAAAATGTGAAACGGTACTGTATCAAAACATCTACACAGCAAAATTGTCAAAATTTCCCATTGTTTTATTTCTTTTTAAGTTAACATTAAACGGTTTTGACATGCTAAAGATGATGATGTTCGTTTACAAAAGGTGGTAGAATAATAAAAAATGTCGTATAAACATAGTGCGAGAAACGACTCTCACGATGTTTTTTAATATTGGGTCAGAATTTCTCAAACGGGCCACCTGAATTAGGTCAAAATTAGTTTTTGATTGTAGATACATTTTTTCGATAGTATTTTACATCACTAACACAAATCCTAAAGGATTTTGTAAAAAAAAAATTTTCAATTGACATATTCATGATATTAAAAGTAAAAGTTTTTAGTAATTAAAAAATAAAAAAAAATCATTATGGCTAAACTAATTATCCGATTCCAACGATTTAACTAGCGTTGGAATCTTGTTTTGACATAGATTCTTTGTTATTTTTTTCAATTGTAAAATTTTCATTTAGGTCGATTTTTTTTTGTTTTTTTTATAACAAATTCGGAAATAATTGGCTTCTGCGCCAGCTATCGACTCGAAAAAAAAAACACATATACTCCAATCATTTTTCGAAATTATGCTGCTGAGAAAAAAAATGGCCCGCAGGTTCCAGACCACCGTAAGACGTCGCGTCACAAGCGCGTACAGCGTATACGGTTCGGAGCGTGAGCTGACACCGCGCGCGGCCACAAAAGGACGAATAACTTTTTGTCAACCTGCGGGCCATTTTTTTTCTCAGCAGCATAATTTCGAGAAATGATTGGAGTATATGTGTTTTTTTTCTCGAGTCGATAGCTGGCGCAGAAGGCAATTATTTCCGAATTTGGTATAAAAAAAACAAAAAAAAATCGACCCAAATGAAAATAGGACAATTGAAAAAAATAACAAAGAATCTATGTCAAAACAAGATTCCAACGCTAGTTATATCGTTGGGATCGGATAATTAGTTCAGCCATAATGAATTTTTTTATTTTTTAATTATTAAAAACTTTGACTTTTAATATCATGAATATATCAATTGAAAATTTTTTTTTTACAAAATCCTTTAGGATTTGTGTTAGTGATGTAAAATACTATCAAAAAAATGTATCTACAAACAAAAACTAATTTTGACCTAATTCAGGTGGCCCGTTTGAGAAATTCTGACCCTATTACCAAAACCTGGGGAGATAAGAGTGTAATTTGGTATAAATACCTAACATTTTATGCCAAACTTACTGTAAATAAAATAAGAATTGAGCCTATTCAGTATCAGTCCTCTATTAAGAAACACCCTGTATACAATTAAGGATCTTTACAAGGGCTCTAGCTCACTTTATATATCATTTTAATTATTTTTTATTAATTATTTTAAAAAGTTCTACCACCTGGTAAATTTTTCGACAACCTTTTTTACACTTCTTGGTATTTAAGATATTTTTTATGGCGCAGTTGATAGGATTATAAAATCATTGATCAAGGGAAAATACATAAATACAAGTATAGCTTATAATTTTTACTTGGAGAACGTTACATTTATTATAAATTTAATAATAAATATTAATAAAAAACAAAGTTTTTTGTAGACATAAGATAACGAACATTAATGTTAAGACATGCATTTTACAGAATTAGCTTTTTTTATATATATTTTACCCTTTTTAATTAATGAAAGTTTTACATGGACTGGAACGTTACACAATTTAGGATGTACCTAACTGAAAAGGTTGTTATGCATTATGGGAAAATTATGAGAATCTGCCAAATCCATTTCTTTTTGGATAGAATATTATTATAAGGGATCATAATTATGGAGAAATCTGACAAAAGCAGATAAATCGAGTTTTGATGAAAAATGAGGTAAGAATAATCCATTGGTAAACTCAGAATTGAGCCAAACCAACTAAACCTAGCAAATCAAGCAAAAGCAGATAAATCCAAATTAATACAATTTAAATTCTTGTTTCACTAAAAATAAGATAAATTCACATTATTGTTATTTTAAATTAACTAAATTCATTTAAGCAACACTATAGACAACACTATAGATAAATTCATTTTGTTTTTTTACTATAACACATGATGCAGGTGGACAAAAAATAAAAAATAAGTTTTCAGGTCTTATATACTCGATAGAATAAATGGGTTGTGTAAATGTCAGAACGAAAAATATTAGTTTTTCGCTGCTAAACTGCCTATGGATTTATCTGCTTTTGTCTGATTGCTCCACAATTCGACTTTAAACTTTTAAAGAAATTCTGTTTGGATTAAATTTTAATACTGAAATGTTTAGTTCCTACATAATGGGTTATAATATCAAGATTATGGGGCTTTTTTATTTTTAAACATTTTTTACAAAGATTAAGAATTACTGTAATTTGACAGTCACACCGACATTCACCGTACATCGACTATACTATGTATATCCACTCAAAGAACGTCGATTGACAGTGAGAATGAAACCGTAAGGGAATTTTGACAAGTTAAAAAACTGTAAATAGTTATTTGACAATAAATATTTTACATTATTTTCATTGCAACGAAAATATTAACAAAAAGAAATATATAAATATTTATGTTTACAAAAAAAGTCAGAATTTATAAAACGTGCCTTGAAACTACAATAATTAGTACTAGTAACTAAAGTGACAATATTGGTTTCTTTACATGATACCATAGAATAAAAATTATCATCTTTTTTCATATTTCTTCTAGGAAATCGATTTTGAAAATATTTTTACGAGTTCTATAACCTAACAAAATAATGCTGAGAAGAAGAAGAATGGTTATTTATACTTCCTCTTCTGCATCCAAATCTGGATAAAACATATTATTATTAACTTGAAATATTATAGGTTTGTTCGGGTTCGCGAAATGAACGGTTAAGAACTGTCAGAATCATGCGCATTACGAAATTTGCGTTCGGGTTTTTTTAGAACCAATTTGGAACTGGTGAATAGCGTGTTTTGGTTTCTTTTGTGGACGATTCAGGACTAGTCCAGAACCGTTCAAACTAATACGAGCTCAGAGTGCGTACTCTTTAGAACTGTTTTCGTGGCGCCTGCGCATTGGACTCTCACGTTTTAATTTATGTTTATATACTTACAGCGTTGAGTGATTTAATCAATGCTTATAGGTTAGGTGCTTTTATTTTGGTTTTTCGCATTTAAACATGTCCGAGTAAAAAATACCTTTGATTAATTTTCTTTATGAAAGTTCAGACTAATAATGTTTATTGTGAAAAGAAAGAATGCACATTTCACAATTGGCAAGAGTTCGGCAAAGCCGATCTTTCACTCTCACATGTAACATTTAAAGTACCTACATGAATAACTAAATTATTTTTATAGCAATATAATACATAAACAAAATCTGATAACAATATGAAAAATAAAAAATTATTAAAAATAAACAACAATTTCAAATTCATTATTCTTAAATGTCTAACTGCAAACTTCGTACAAACGACACCTACATGGGATTTTGAAAACCACCGTAAGCGTTTTGGTTTTTTAATATTTTACTAAAAATCCAGAACGGTTTAGAACCTAAAACTACTGCGACTACAGTTCTGCGCAATCTTTAAACAGTTCAGAATTGTATAAGTCGAACAAACCTTATATTAATTTTTATAAGATACACAAATAAATAAAAATCATACATTAATTATAAACTATTTATAACATTCTTTTATCTATTTTGGTTTCATAATGACTTCGTTATAACACCGCTTGGTTCTTTAATGAGGTACTTTATTCCACCCAAAATTTTGATTTTATAGCTATAACCTAGGTTGGCTACTGGTAAAATACAATTTTGAATACCTATAGGTTATAATATTTTTATGATTTGTTTTCTAGTACTTACGAGACTTTTCGTGCAATAAATTTTGTTTAACACCAAAGAAAATCCTTTTTTCTTCTTTAACAGCCGCTTATTGTAAATACTTATTGTAAATTAACGACGCCATAGCGAAAGAATGTGATAATGTTTGAAAGGTTAATGACCTTTCAAACTTCAAACTGGGATACCAACTATGTAAAGTAAAATTCGACCAAATTAAATATAAGGTATAAAATTAATTTGTTTTATGAAATGTTTGCAAAATAGATAAAATAGCATAAAGGACTCATGTCATAAGACCTTTTGTCGCACTTGTCCATTATAAAACTCGCTCCTTCGTCGCTCGTTTTATAAATTGTCCGCGTGCGACAAAATGACGTCTTATGACATTAGTTCTTTAATATACTATTATAACTTTTACAGAAGCTACACATGCTGGATTGTAGCCGACATGTGAAGTTTATAATAAATATGCATATCCAAAAAAATATTTTTTTTTGTTTCCTTAATAATTGAACTGGGTAATTTCTTTTTATTCAATGCGCAGTCGCTTGTATTTTAACTCTTACCGTTTTATCGTCGATATTTTTTAACAAAAAACGCCCCTCCCGGTCGTCAACGTGCCAGTTTAGTTGCACCAACAGGGGTTTCTCGTCCGGGGACATCTTCCTCTCCGGACAGCCCTCGTGCAGTTCGTAGAGGGCATACGAAGGCACGGACAGCATCCGCATGTCTGGCCTGAATTTTTCCACCAAAGTGCCGATGACGTCTTCAACGGTAGCGTCGGACGCTACTCGAATGCACTTGGTGGCCACCTTTTGTCCGGAATCTTGGAAATAGAAGCGCATCACCCCGTGGAACTCCAGGTCCTGGAAAAAGAGACTTTTTTATTTTATCTAGTATTTTTAAATTTAAAAACGTTTAAAAGTTTAACTCTATCGGGATTTCGCAAGGCGCGCGCCATCTGATGGACTTTGATAGCATTGTGTGAATTTAAGAATTGTCAACAATACATTTAAAGCATACGAACTGCACACCAGTTTTAAATAAATAGTTAGTTTTTTCACAAAAGAGAGCACAGCTAAATCGCGCACGTTGCAAGGAAAAAAACTAAAAAATTGGTTTAGTACTCGATTTCGATTGATTATTCCTTATATTATTGATTAAGAAACTTAACGCTTAAATACCTATACTATATAGTTACGTTAGTGTGTGTATTTTATCTAAAGGATCATGGTAAATTATTGTGTTTTTAATTGTAAATAAAATTCAAGAACTATATCGTTGCATTTTCATGTTTTGCCAAAGGATCCCATTCGGCAAGTATATTTGTTGGTGCAGAATAAACTAATGATAACTATCTAGTATAATTTATATTTAAGTTTGGACATTTTTAAGAAATTAGTAAAAAATAATTGTTGAACAAACATAACCTTAAAATCGAACATTTTTATATTTAAGTTCTCTAAAAAAAGCCGACAACTGCATTTTAAACAACAAAATATACCTACGAATTCATGCCAAAATAATATTATATATAATACATAATATAATGGTATTTAACCGTTGAGTGGAGACTAAAAGCTGTTTAAATTTAGACGACTTATTTGTTTGACGATTTTTACTGAATTGAAATGTTTACACTTTTTACGTTAATCATTACTAAAATGGGTATTTATTGTATCTAATAGATACAATTTATAATTACAGGGACTGTATGAAATTTATTTTTTCATTCGGATTAACACTTATTGTAAAACCGGTAAAAACTCAACCCAGGATTTCGTCTCGAAATACACCCAACAACACAACAAATCGTGCAACGTTTTTTTCCGATATTTTTTTAACATTTTCTGTATTTATTCTCAAAAACATTCGTTTGTAACATAAGCGTTTAACAGCTGATTATTAAAAGTTTTAGTTTTGTTACGATGATAACGGCCTAGTGGTGGCGCTACTAGCGATGCTTCTTTAGCGTATAATATGAAATAAAGCTTAAATGTCACCAGGTAAGTTGAACCCATAGATAACAAAGCCTAACCTAAAAATGAGGTGACAGAATCTTAAGAAATTCTTTATTAAATGATTGTATGAGTGTGTAAAACTCGGCGGCTAAAGCTTATTAAATGCCTCGCACACAATCTCGTGAAATGTATGCTCGGTGATAATATGTGATTTCTTCGCCTGTCCTATAATGTACTATTTTTCTTCTTCTTATGGCCTTCTAAATTTTACATTAATAATGATTTAATTATTAAATGACCGTTATTTCCCAGTCCAAAAAGAATAGATTAAGCTGTACAATAACAAAAAAACTGGTTTTCTTAAATATTTAATAAATATCACATTATTTTTTGTAAAATTACTTTAAACTGTTAAAAACTGTAAACTCCAGCTCATCAAAAAATATACTAGGAAGCATTTAAAACTATTTAAGACTATTTTCCTCTATACTTTGTATTTTTTTGCAAAAGCAAAAAAGCTAAATTATGCTTGTAAACACTTTTTAACAACACTCCATTAACCACACAATAATTAGATAGATAATCAGCAAGAGAGATAAATAGAAACGTTTTGTGAAGTTTTGTATTTTTTACCGTTATGAACTTTGCTTTAATTATTTTAATGACTACCTAGAAACAAACCACTGTAAATAATGTTATAGATTTTTGGTATGTGCGGTCCACAGTAATTGCCAACATAAAAATATTTAGAGTTACGCAAATTTTTAATACCGTCGAATGTTAATAGAGCAATAAAAATAATTTAAAAGTTTGGCTTATTTTGTAATTAGTAATTAACACTTTAGAACTTTCCTATAAAAATGTACGGCTGTAAACTTTGTTTTTATGTTTTTTGCTAATTGCTAATAAACATGAATTATCTATATCTTATAATAATTAAAAAGTAATTTTAATTATATAAAAGCTTAAGCATTATTGAAACAATTATAATAATTATTAAAAAATTAAATAAATTACAAGGAGAACGAGTAATTTTTAAAACAAACCAATTATTATTTTAAAATATATTGTTATTGTTAACTAAGTAAACCTAGATATCATATTTAATTTGACTTAATATTTATTTACCCTGAAACCATAACAGTAACTTAGTATAAGTTTACGCATTATGAATATAACACCCAGAGGTATCATTTACATACTTTGAAAACCTGAAATAAAAGTAAAATTAACAGTTTACACTACAATAACTTATAAAATAATAGCTTTATTAAGTATATTAAAGAAAATATTTAAGAACTAACAAGTGTAACCGAAGCAGCAAAAATATACACTATTTTATTGGAGAAGAATTTAGCATGATAAATCAGATTAAATCGTTTACATAGCTATAAACACGATTATGATACAGCTATAAGCTACAGGTAGCCGTTATGAAAAAAGGGCTTGGGATGATGTTTATCTAAATTGTAGTCAATTTGCTACTATCCCTTTAGAAACATTAAAAAAGGGCGGAAGTATTAGCATATTTACGATGTGAATACTTTGGTTTAACTATTTTAAAACGCAATTTTGTATTCCTTCATGTTTGATTTCTTATAATTTATTTATTTGTTTTTAACTATTGTCAACGCTCAATACCAAAATATTCGATTATCTACTATAGGCGTGAAGTTATTTAAAGTCTGTAAAAAATCAGTCATGACCAATCAAAAAGTTCGTTAAATATGGAACAGCTAAAGTTATAATAATAATAATAATAATAATAATAATAATAATATTTATTGCATTATAAAATAATTTACAAGTAACTTTACATTTCACAAGTTTGCAACAAATATGCTAATCTGCACTATAAATGTAAGAAACATTTGTGCGTGCAGGTACAATAAATAAACAATAAAAAAATGTATAATAAATCATAAAACGAGTACAATGTATAATAAACAACAGTATCGCTTTAAAACCTTAACAATACAGTAAGATTATACTAAAACACAAATAAATAATTCATAGCTATAGACAATATATAATTATTCGTAGACTAATTCCAGACTAAAACTTAAACTATAAGTAATCTAAAAATAAAGATAAAAGGAGGCCTATAGTACTTAAAATAGAAATATGAAAACTAATTTAAAATTAAAAATTTATTAAAAATATTGAAGATTTAAAAACGACAATTTATAAACACTATACACATAATGAGCAGTTTTTTAAGTCAATTTCGTTAGACACAAACCGTCTGGGTTTTTGTAGTACATAACTTTTGCTTATTTTTTTAAATGAATTTGGAATAAGTATGTTTTTTATATTTTCTGGGAGGGTATTATATAATTTCGGACCAAGGTAGGTTAAACACCTTTGGCCAATGGTTTTGCGCATCTTTGGAACAAGTAAATGATCTTTTTGTCTCGTAAACCTACTGTTTACTAATTGAAGTGACTTTTTTTGAGCATGGGTGTATATTAGAAGATTAAGATAATAAAGTTGTCTACAATCCATCTTACCAGAGATGAGAAATAATTCGTCCGTTGGGTAAGTAATTTTAACACCATGCATTATTTTTAAAATTCTTTTTTGTAGCAACTCCACATCCTGCAAGTGATTACTGTATAAACCACCCCACCCAAGGATACCATATCTAAGATGCGACTCCACAAGTGCGTCGTATACAATGTTAAATTGGGTTATATTTAATATAGGATAAAGTAATTTAAAATAATGTAATAGGCATCTAAGTTTTTTGTTTATTTCGCGCACTTGTAGATCCCATCTCAGATGTGGATCCAATGTCAAACCAAGAAATCTGACCGAATTGGAGGATTCAATACTAAAACTTTCCCTGCACGTGGTAAAGGTAAGAATATTTAATTGTGGTAAACTATTTGAATATAAACCAAAACACATAAAATTTGTTTTCTCCACATTAAGCGAAAGTAAATTAAAGTCAAACCATTTTTTAATATTGATAAAGTCTTTCTGTATTATATCTTTTAAGGATTCCCAGTTATGACTTTTATATAATATTGTTGTGTCATCTGCAAAACTCGTGATAGTACCCTTGATTTCTACTCTAAAGAGGTTGTTTATATATAGTATGAAAAGAAGCGGTCCCAAAATAGTACCTTGTGGGACTCCATATTTTGGTATCATCATCTCACTTAAATTTTCATTTATCCTTACCATTTGTTTACGGTTTTTCAGATATCCAGTAAGAAGTCTCAAAAGAGCGCCTCTAACCCCTATGCTATCTAGAACATTGATAAGTTTGTCATGACTTACGGTGTCAAACGCTTTGGCAAGGTCAAGAAAAATGCCAATTGCAGGAGTACCTTTATCCATTGCCTCATATATTTGACTAGTTAGTGATATTATAGCACCTTGAGTAGACTTGCCCTTCTGAAACCCGAACTGTCTATCTGATATTATTTTATATTTTTTTATATAATCTTCTAAACGATCTTTTAACAGCATTTCAAAAATTTTTGTTATGTTTGTTATTAAGTTGATAGGTCTATAGTTTATTGGCTTCAGTTTATCACCTTTCTTGTAAATAGGTATCACTATGGAGGTTGTGAATGTAGGTGGACATATCCCAGATTCAAAAATCTTATTTATAATAGTTGATAGTGGTTTTGCTATTGCCTTAGAAATATTTTTTAATGTATAACTACTTATTCCATCCACCCCCACAGATTTTTTATTTTTTAATCTTTTAATTACTAATTTGACTTCTTCATCATGGGTTGGCATCAAAAACATTGAGTTGTTAAGATTAAGTCAATTTTCCTTATAGTTTAGCGGTGGATTAATCTTTTCAGCCAGGAGACTGCCCATATTTATATAGTGTTCATTAAATATATTAGTTATTCTTGTCATATCTGTTGTTATTACATCTCCAT